TTCTCTCTCTGCCCCTCCCCCACTTGTGTTCTGTCTCTCTCTATTAAAAAATAAATAAATGTAAGCAAAAAAATTTTTATAAAAAAGAAAAAAACACAAAAGAGGCCAATGTGCTTTTTTATTACATTCAAATCAGTTCTTTCTCTAGCTGATTACTTATTCCATTTGAAGTAATACTTAACAAAATGTGCATATATAATAGAATTAAAAATTGAAAAAAAACTTAAGTTGATTTCTGTTTGGCATGGGTCATAAGGCTCAAAATACATTAAAACTAACTTTGCTACTTAGTTAATGTAGGTCTTAATTTTCTAAAGCGGAGAGTATGTGGTAAATGAAATTTTAAATGTTTTGATAAGCAAAGACAAAGTCATAAACAACAGTTGATGAAATATTTTTCACATTAATAATTATTACCTTTATGATTATTACTTTTATAGCCATTAGAAAAATATAAAAAAAATTAACATTTTAATTTATTTTTGAGAGACACAAAGAGATGGAGTGTGAGCAGGGGAAAGGCAGAGAGAGAGGGAGACACAGAATCTGAAACAGGCTCCAGGATCTGCATGGTCAGCACAGAGCCCAACCTGGGGCTTGAACCCACCAACTGTAAGATCATGACCTGAACTGAGTTGGATGCTTCCCCAACTGAGCCACCAGGTGCCCCATAATTACAAACATATAAATGGTTCTATCATTTTAAAGACAAAATGATCATTATATCTTTCACTAATCTGTGTTTCCAGTCTAATAAAGGTACCAAACTAAAACAGTATTATTGGTGCAAATATCAGAATCTGCTTTGATTTGATTTTCAACTATTTTTGCACTTACCTCATCTGTAGACTCAAAGTCCTCTTTGCTGCAAGAATGAAAATAAAAAGATAGACAACCTTAAGAAAATGTATGTATTGGTCATATATAAATGCTAGTGTTTCTAATTCTTTTATCTTAGTTTTAATATATCATAATAACAGCAATTCAATTTACAATTCAAATAAGAAATTTTAAGCTAACTAAAATGGCACTTATGAAAAATAAAGATAATTTTCCTGAAACTAGTTAATCTATTAAAAATGACCAATATTGATTCGGGAGAGGAAGAGGCCAACATGGCAGAGAAGTGGGGCAATCCAAACTTCCCGCATCTCTCAAAGATGTTCTGAAGCCAAAGGACTTTGAACCCCCAAGAGTCTGGGAGGAAAGGAGACTGAGTCTAAAAAGGAGTCACTGGAACATCCTTGACGGGCTATAGGTAGGTGATTGAGAACTGGGGGAGATAAAATGGGCCACGTAAGCACAGAGGGGAAGGATCCCCTTTTGTGGAGAGACAAAGGGAAGAGAAACAGTTGCTGGGGAAACATACGACTGTATCTGGACAAAAGATAAACCTCGTCTGGGACTGAGAGCGATACCATCTCTAACTGAAGGGCTTTCTTGGACTGGGGCCAGCTGACCCATTCGCACACCTGGGGAGGAGGGGAGCCAGCCCTGGGTTCGGTGGTAGGTCAGGGGTGCAGTCCACAGTAGAAGAAACCAGTCCCCTCCTTGGAGTGCTGTGGGAAAGGACAAAGCCTGCCTGCCTCTGCCATCCCGGGGTTCAGTGGGGATGTCAGCAATACAGTCTGCAGCAGGAAAAGGTGGTCCTCCCTGAAGTGCTGCGGCACAGACAAAGCCAGCTGGGAGCACATATCAGGCTGCACAGAGAGGCACTTCCTCAGTGCCAGAGCAGACAGAATGGGACTTTGATCCCAGGCTGCACAGAGAGGCACTTCCTCAGTGCCAGAGCAGACAGAATGGGATTTTGAATCCTAGCCAAGCGCTGGTCAGGGGAGTCAGGGGAGCGAGAAGGCCCGCCCCATCTGCGCCTGCTGCACAGTGAGGAGGACTCAAATGGAGTCCACCAAGCCCCATGGAGAAGAGGCTGGGGGATCGCCATTCCCCCCCCCTCACCCCAGCACCACCAAGGCGAGACCTCAGGGATCTGTCCGGGGCCCATAGTGGAGGCAGAACCAGCCTACACCAAACCACGCCCCTCCATGCCTGGTCACTGCATATCTGCTGGAGCAGGACAGATGCTGTGAAACCAAAGGGCTCTATCATCCAGACCAGTGCTGCTGCAGACCCTGGATTAATTCTCGGACAATTCTTGTTATTTAGATATATATTCCCTTCTTATCTCTTCCCTCCTCTAGGCTGGTTACTCTGGTTGTTGGTTTGTTTAAGCAGACATATTTAATCCATTCTCTTCATACATGTTCTACACCAGCTTCTCTACTTTCCTTTCCTCTCTTTGGAATAATCAAGCCATAGTTTCTCTGTCTGGGTATTTTTATCTTTTATTTTCCCCCACCTCCTTCTTTATTTTCTTTCTTTCTCTCTCTCTGGATAAGGCCATTTAGCCTCTCTGCCCAGTCAATGTTTATTTTCTCTTTG